TCCATCATCAGGGTTCTGATGTGACTGATACCTTGAAAGTCGCCTGTGTACATACACTACTACTTTACTACGGTAACCAGTTGATGCTGCTGATTGCCCAAGATGATTTTATTGATTGTACTCGCTGCGAAAGTCTCAAATCCTATATATATATAAATAATGAGATCTTCATGCATTTCCAAACTTAGTCCAAAAATTATTGGAAATAAGATATTCAGACAGTTTAATTAAAGTTATACCAACCAATGAAAGAACTGCAAAATTAATATATCTGTTTACAGATAATTTTTTGAATATTAATCATTACTGTTAGGTGACTTTCCTTAGTGTATGCAAGAACAGAATGTATCATGTGACTAGACACAACAGACTTGTGAGCAGAGGCAAACTACATGAAAGTAATGGCGATGTTCTTCTGGGTTTTGGTGCCATGTGGACTGGTCAGTAGATACCATTTATGAGAAATATACTGTCACCGTCTTAAGCCCTGAAGATGTAGACAGTACTTTTATCTGAAATGTTGGCATCTACTGACAAGTCTGCAGTGCTAAAACCCAGAACAGCTCATCATTGCCACCTCAAATCTTACCTGAAAGTAAGACTGTTATTCCAAAAAATTAGGTTAAACACAGGCTTAGCTAGAGATGCAAAGTACGGATAAAATTCTTTTCTTGTCTGGGAAGAACTGGATTTTTGGGAGGGAATATACTGATAGATAAAATTTGGAATAGTGAGAATTATATTGATTTTCACATTGGAGAGACTCATATGCTAGTTTTCCAGTCCAGTCAATCAAGTTCTTGGAAGGTATCTTACCTGCATTAATTTCAGGTCTGACAGCTGACCTTAACATAGTAGTTAATCTGTGTTACTCTATGATTCTGGGGCCAAAATTGAAACAGGTCATTATGTCATAAAAATTACTTTTATTCAGATTCTGAAGCAGTCTAACAAAACTATCAATTTTTCAGTGTTATGTCCTCCTTTTCTTGAAGTAGCATTAAGGTTTTATTGCTGAAAATTAATGTTTTCTCCATTTCTTTGTGATATTTTCTTGTGCTTTCCCAGTTTCTTCCCACAGTTCAAAATTGCCATCTTTAGGCATAGCACACAGTAAATGTTCACAAGTGGAAACATTTTACCAGCAATTGTTCAGGAGACATGAATAATTATTTGAACGGCAAGAAAATTATGCTAGGTCTTCACATGGGCATGTGACATCAAAATCAAGAATGCCAACTGTTGAGTTGGATAAGTGTAGAGGTCAGATGTGTGGTTTGTTTTCTACGTGCAGTAAATATTCATCAGCAGTAAGATGCAAGGTGATGTGATCATGCTCCTTGACATTGGAACACCACACACATCTTGCACACAGTCCAACTTAGTACCTTTAGACCTTCATCTACTTGGGCTCCTCAAATAAGCCTTAATGGGCCAGAGATTTGTGAATTATGATAATGTTATTGCAGCAGTGACAACTTAGTTACAGGCATTTGACTAGGATTTCTTTGTGAGAGCCTTCAGTGCACTAATTTCCTGGTAGGACAAAAGCTTCAACAGGGGTCAATATACAGGATGATTCAAAAGGTTAGGGCCAAACTGAAGGAGCGTATAGAGAGACTCGGAGAGAACAACTTTCGAGTAGGAATCCATGTCCTTCGAAGTTATCCTGAGTCAGTAGAGGCCATTGAAGGTAGGGAAGTCTGAAAACATACCGCTGAAATAATCGTACCTTGCTATTCTCCTACTAGCTTAATTTTGAATCCCACGTATCCCGGGCGTTGGATAGGAAGAGGAGGGCCGGTTGAATGGCCAGCCCTCTCCCCAGACTTGACACCTCTCGATTACTACTTTTGAGGGCAAGTCAAGAGCCTCGTTTACGACACATCAGTGGACGACCCAAAGCAACTTTTGGTCCAGAATACTTGCTGCATCTGACGTGGTCTGAGACTCCTGGGGTTTTTGAAAGGGTGTACCAGAGTTTAGTTCATCAATGTAATGCCTGCATTGAATGTGGAGGATGCCACTTTGAACACCTGTTGTAAATTTCGTTTGTAAGATTGCTAATGTAATCCTTGTACATTAATAAAAAAAACAAAATTAAGCTACTAGGAGAATAGCAAAGTACATATCAGATTTCCCTACCTTCAATAGCCTCTACTGACTCAGGATAACTTCGGAGGACATGGATTCCTATTCGAAAGTTGTTCTCTCTGAGTCTCTCTATGCCCTCCTTCAGTTTGGCCCTAACCTTTTGAATCATCTTGTATATGCAGGCAGTTGTATCTCTGGTAATAAATGCCATGTCATAGCATCTTTGTATACATTACTTGCAGAACAGCCTTTTTATATTGTATCATCACCTAGCTGGAAAATGTTTCACATCAGCAGTATTGTTATGGGAGCATTGTTATTACTGGATATCACCTCATACAGGCCTTGGTCTGTAAGACTTGAGGTTCTCACAGCGGTGAGTATGAAGATGTCCGTCTTCTGGGTTATTGCGCTGTGTAGTCTGGTCGATGTTAACCAACGTTTCAGAGGTCATACTGCCTCCGTCATCAGGGCGATGAATCGCGCAATAACCCAGAAGACGGACATCTTCAGGCCTTGGTCTCATTGTAGGGATCTAAAGTTCATCATTTGTATGCAATAATTCTGCTTGTTCTATGCTGCTGAAAGGACTGTTGTGCCAGATAGATGGGGAAAATGTTTGCAGTTGTGTCATGTAGTATGTGATCTTTTTTTTCTTCTCATACCTCTACAGTCCTTGAAGGACATTGGTCTCCTCACATGTGGTAGGTTCCTTAATCTGTTTTAGATATTTGGTAGGACTCCTTGGACAAGTGATCAGCCTGTCGCAAGGCCTCTAGCTGTACACGGGACAGCACAGCACAGAAATACGCTGACAAACATCCATGGCTTGAGTGGGATTTGAACCCATGATCCCAATCCCAATGTTGAAGCGATAGATCCCCACGCCCCCAGACTGCAAGGCCACTGACCAGCAGACATGTGGAATGGAATTACTTCAAATATATGAACAGAATAATTGCATGGACATTAAGGTAATGAAGATATATTAATTTGTGATATTACACAAGGAATAAAAGTATCTTGCAAGCATAAAAGGAGTCTGTTTGTCTGCAGTAGGAACAGTAATGAGCATTTTATAATAAGTATTGTAAAATCCTGAATATTATAAAAAAGGCTAAAAAGCAGCATTATAGTAGACTTATAGCAAAATCGGACAATAAAATAAAAACAACATGGAACATAATAAAAAGGGAGACGGGAAAAATACATTTATAAGAATGGATGTCATCTCTTCTAATAAAATAATAAAGTAAAGGATCCAGGAACAGGAGCTAATGCCTTGAACAAGGTTTGAGTTGGAACTTGTATAATAATCTGACTTGTTTCATTTGTTAGGATATTATTGTATTGTGTAGATATGCAAGATTTACTATTAACTTGCGACGGTAAGCTGTGTTGAACTTACTTTATTTTGCACATGTTCTGAGCCGTACTCTGCCTTTTCGGCATTTTTCGCCTTTCATCGCTAACCAGAATACTACGAGAGTCTTGGACATGCATTATTGCATATATAACGTTGAATTACTATATATTTCTTATTATTTAAATATAACTCGCAAATTAGTTTCATCTTATCCATTTTATTTTTAGAATACCCGTTAATTTATGTAATACAGAGGTGAGCAATGACTTTGTTGGTTATAATAACCGACAAGAACTTCCGGGTTGTAAGGCAATCGTCTCGTTTCTTCAGTATGTTCGTTTGTTATGTCAACTTTTAATATTTTGAGTTCGTATAAACCTATATATGTATATGTGTGCTAAAACTTATTTTAAATTAATGTGAATATGACACAATGGATGTCCAAGTGGTATAGGCAGTTAGGTGGACGTTTTACGTGCAGATAGCGCTTATAAAATAACGTCGGTTAACATGGCATCCTCTGGGTCGTGCAATTTACAAGAGGCGAGTATGGAAGAGCTGAAACAAGAAATAGAACGACTAAGTCGTGAATTGGATCAAGCTGTTAGCGAGAAGATCCAATCAGCTCATTATGGTTTGGTTCTCCTTGAAGAAAAGAGCGGCTTGGTATTAAAATGTGAAGAACTTGAAGGTTTATATGAAAATTCAAAACATGAACTTGAAATTACGCAAGAGGTTAGTTATATTAAAGATTTGAAAGCTTGTTCAGCTTTAATTAGTCTTCCATTAACCCACATTTGTAATCACTCATTATACACAGCATTTTCCCGGACCGTTGTACAAGAAAGGTGACATATTATATGACATTACAGACCGATTTCACTGTTCACTGCTTTTTATAAAATACTTGATAAAATTATGTACAATAGATTATGTGCATACTAACAACATGTTGGTCCCAGAACAAAGGTGTATCCACTGAAAATGCAGCATTCAAACTAACAGACAATGTGGTAAAATCTATTAACCAAAAAATGTATGTTGGAGGAAATTCTTGGGTTTGCAAATTGATAATCACCTAAATTGGACAAATCATTTTGATAAACTGATACCTAAGTTAAGTGGCGCATGTTACACAGTTAGATCTCTGTTGCATGTCAGCAACACTGACACACTCAGATTAGTATATTTTGCATATTTTCACTCTATAATGAAGTATGGAATAATTTTTTGGGGTAATTCATCAAACAGTAAAAAAATATTCACTTTACAAAAGAAAATTATTAGATTATTGGCTGGTGTAAAACCTAGAAATTCATGTAGAAGTCTGTTTAAGAGATTAGAGATCTTAGCTCATCCATGTGAACACATATTCTCGTTAATGAACTTTATTGTAAATAACCAAGAACTCTTTCAAACTAATTCTGCTATACACAATGTCAACACAAGGAACAAAAATAAGCTTCATAGACCAATTGTCAACCTCTCGTGTTTTCAGAAGAGTGCATATTATGCAGGGATCAAAATTTTCAACAGTCTACCATCAAATCTCTCAATTCTTGTAAATAAAAAGGCACAATTTAAACTAGCATTGAAAAGATACTTAATTACACACTCCTTTTACTCTGTGGATGAATTTCTAATGTTTACAAATAAGTCATAATTTATCTATTGTATATAATGGGTGGGTTTATTTGTAACTTATCTCTGATTTATGTGAACCCTTTGTTTGTATTTGTGACATTTATATAATAGTATGAATTGTACTTCATAATATGTATTGTATTATTATGACTTATTCTACATCCTATTGTTATCTGACTAACTTATGGATCCATGGAATGTAATAAAGATGTATGTATGTATGTATTGCTTACATATATTTATAATAGCAGAGAATATTTGATTGAGGTAAATTTTTCTATTGAACAGTTCTGGCTTAAGCTTCTTTTTTTCATGATTCAGACTTTTTATAGTGGGGAGGGGAGATTCTAATGATTTTCTTGATGAAGTGTCATTAAAACATTGTAAACTATGCTGTTCATGATTCAGACTTTTTATAGTGGGGATTATTATATAGTATTAGTTTATGAGCTAGTTAAAAAATTAATTATGTTGTTTGTACTTGTATGAGGGTTTAATACTATTGTAAAATTATTTAAATGAAATAGGTTAACTTTTGACTGATTCTTAGCATTGTAATGAGTTTCCTTTATTTTTTTATGTAATTTAAGGCATTAGCAAAGTTCCAGACAACTCACAAAGTGACCACTAAGACTGGAATTGAACAAGAAGAATCTCTTTTGTCAGAATCTGCTGCTCGTGAGACTTCCCTCAACTCCCAAATTTTAGAATTGGAAAATGAAACAAGACAAGTAAGAAATTGTAAATTCTTTTAATTGAAAGCTTAAATTTTAAGTTCTTACTCCATATGCTGATGTAATCATGGTTTTTATTGCATGATCTTAGCTTCGCCAAGAATTGGAACGAGTGGTAAATGAGAGGGACAGAGTATTACAGGAGAATTATGACTTGGACAAATATAAAGAAGAAAGAGAGCTCGAAAGGAGGAATCTCCGATCAGAGTTACGAGAGATCAAGTTTCGAGAGACTCGTCTCATCACGGATTATTCCGAACTGGAAGAAGAAAATATTAGTCTGCAGAAACAGGTTTCAGTTCTGAAGTCGTCACAGGTTTGTACATGCAATAAACAGTGTAATATCGTGAATTTTGTTTAACAGTTCCTGATAAATTAGTATAAAATTGCAACGTTTTGCTTCAAGGTTGAATTTGAAGGAGTGAAGCATGAAATTCGCAGGCTACAAGAAGATGTTGAACTTCTGCATCAACAAGTTGAGGAGCTGACAAAGCTGAAGCAAATTGCAGAGAAGCAACTGGAAGAAGCCCTTGAATCTCTCCAGGTAATATCTTCCTTTGTTGCCTTGAAAATGTTTATCGGATGTTATAATATTTGTCGGTACAAATTTATGTCATATCCTTTCCTCATACATGAATACATGCACTGAGAATTATTATTATTATTTAGTGTTCTGTCTGACGACAGGTCCATATGAACAGGATCCTTCGATCCTTTTCTCGGACTGGGACCTGTTCATATACGTTCTTGGCAGATGATCCAGAAGTGGTTTGCCATTGCCTTCTTCTGTGTGTGAATGGAGTAATTGTTGGGATGCCACGGAGGAAAACTCCGTGTTGCCTAGACCACGGCCTTGCCCAACACAAGTTATAAATTCGAACCCGAGACACCAGGAGTACAAGGCCAGCGTTCTAACCGCTAGACCACCGTGGCATACTGAGAATTGCTTTACAGTAATTAGGCCTTGGTTATGTTCTCCAAGAATGTTTTATTCTTGCACAACACATTGTGACTGATGTATAAAGTGAAGCTTTCATGGTGACTGACGTTGACGGGTTCCCATCGGCAAGCACGCTACAAAGGATCGGTCTTGTTATGCAGTAGCCCCGAGGATGAGAGCATAGATTGTTCTTGAAACGTCGGTAGAAGATAAGGATTATTCGCCATTCAGCCACCTGACGTGGCTTGTAACCTGAGAGTCTTTCATGAACATTGTGACTGCTTCTTGTAATTCTTAACTGTGCAGCCATAAATGCTTAAATATTTTTTTCTTAATCTTGCTATGTATCAGGATCATAACAATTATTTCTAACAAAATTTTAATTTGCTTTTTGAAGCTGTAATTTTAATTAAAAACTTGGTTTGCATTCATATTAAGGTGGCGACTGACTTGTAACATTTGCCTGTAATGTAACGTGTTACAAATCGAGCTCCATCGTGTTGTCGGTTTTTTCGCGAATCCCTTTGAGTGTTACATTACAAGTCAGTCAGTCAGTCGAGCGGCGTCGTAACGAGCATTCACGAGTTCTTTAGATAAGAGTAGCGTATTAAATGAAACAAAGATAACACAACCTCCACGTCCGACATATTGAATGAAATGAATGGAGCACACACGAGCACAGTCGAACCGAGCGTTCAAAACGAGCATTTGATACGCCTCACCAGTTGTGGTGTAATGTAACATGCTCGCCGCGAATGTTACATTACGAGTAAATGTTACAAGTCAGTCGCCACCTTTAAAGTCTATCATTAGAGAAATTTTATTTGGAAACTGAAATCTCTGGAGTCCTATAGAGCTTGATGTAGTAATCTAATGGATATTTGGTATCTCATTCACGTAATTTGGAGTGTTTTGTTGCAGGCTGAACGAGAGGCTAAATATGCTTTAAAGAAGGAACTGGATCAACGCATAAATAGTGAATCAATGTTTAATCTCAGCAATTTAGCTTTTAGTATCCAAGGTAAGTAGAATTCTATTCATTGGACAGAATTGCCATCAACTGTTGTATAGGGCCATTCACATCTTCATTAACGTCCCATTTATGCAGTTATCAGTTTTATTTCTTATTTTGAAGAAGGAGATGGAAAAGTAACATAAAGTTGATTTTGGAGAGATGGGTGGAATTCGCTCGAGATTTTGTCTTATTTGGGCTTGGTAGCTGTGGGCCTATACTGCCAGAGAGTGTGTTCAGTTATAGGTAATTTTGTAGGAGTTCTGAGAGTTCAGTCATTAATTGCTGTAGTCTTATCGTAGAGCAGAAATGTTGGAATACTCTTCTTCAGCTGCACTGAGTACCAGGGACTCTCTACTTGAGTGTGCAGCTGTTGTGAAGGTTAACATTGAAAGTTGCTTTACCTTCATACGCTGCAAAGTACATGATAGTATGTACAAAGCAGGGCGTTCCTTACATTGTGATTTTTCTTTGTTTTTCAAGAACTACGCTATATTGTCGTTTGTACAGCTTGGGTTTTGGGGGATGAGCAGTGTTGAATATTGAGAATCATCCATTTTGGAAAACACTGCAGCTGTCATTTACATGATAAGTTTGTAATGGTTTAGCATTTTTAGAAGCCTTATATAGGACAGGCAGTAGGAGATGAGTTGGATTTGATGAAGCTGAAAAGGAGGCTGCTATCCAATTGGAGATGAGCGTGTGGTTAAGGAAAAGATGTACTTATTACAAACATCTCATTTGATATAAGTTACTGATTAAATTAGAAATTTATATTGAATATTTGTGGGCTGCCCTTAGTGAAGCAGGATGTTGGCTACCCAGAAGTGTGACATGATTTGAAATTGGACACACTTTAATTAGTTAGCTCAAGCAGCTTTGAAGATTTCTGGGTTGTTGCGCTGTGTAGTCTGGTCGATGTTAACCAACGTTTCAGAGGTCATACTGCCTGCTGTGTAGTCTGGTCGATGTTTACCAACGTTTCAGAGGTCATACTGCCTCCGTCATCAGAGTATGAAGGTTTCTGTCTTCTGGATTGTTGCGCTGTGTAGTCTGGTCGATGTTTACCAACGTTTTAGAGGTCATACTGCCTCCGTCATCAGAGCAATGAAGATTTCCGTCTTCTGGGTTATTGCGCTGTGTAGTCTGGTGGATGTTAACCAACGTTTCGGAGGTCATACTGCCTCCGTCAGGGCGATGAATAATTATGACCTCTGAAACGTTGGTAAACATCTACCAGACTACAGGGCGCAACAACCCAGAAGACAGAAATCTTCATACTCACGCTGTGAAAACCTCAAATCTTACAAGCAACTTTGTTTTGGACCATACATTGGTAATAAATTTTTATGGCTGTCAAGAGTCACAGCTTTTGTGAGGATGAGATTTCATTTGAGCTGATCTCTCAGCATGAAAATATGTATAAGGAGGCAGAAATGTTTGTGTTGCTGATTAGGCTAATTTGGCAGTCCTCTGCACACGCACACACACACATCTGTGAGCCGCTTCCTGATCTTTGCAGGTATTACAGATGATCAGACGATGGGTAGTGATGGTGAAGATGACCTGCCAGTGCTGAAGCGTATTGAAGCTGACCTAAAAAGTGGCTCGAACTCTGATATTAGGTCACCAGATGGGAAACAAGTGGATCTCTTCAGTGAGATTCATCTGAATGAACTGAAGAAACTAGAAAAACAACTTGAGCAGGTGAGGGTTACCATAGTGAAAACCATGGTTCCAGAAAAGACATGGAAGATCAAAATGTAAAGTACTATCAGCACAAATGCTTAGAATTTAAGTCTATTAAGCGTACCTGTATTATTTTGTACTTCTTAAGTTGTAAAAGAAGTTGCAGACTTTTCTGTCGATGAGCCCTGCATTTGTTTGACTTGCTGTTATTGATATGAGTTTAATAGAAGTACCAATGAAACTTGAGGTTCCATGAAAGGCAGGGAATGGATTGACTATCTGAGTGACTGTCAGCTTCTCAAAAAGATTGTTCTACAAAGTTTGTTAATAAAAGTACCACCTGCTTCCAAGAAGTCAAGAAACAAACTGATTCTATGTGTCCAACTGCTACAGCCCAGCAGCTTAGCGCTGAAACCTAAAGATTGGGCTTCTGTAGAGCGAGTGAGAGTGGTTTGACAGCAAATTTTTCAGTCATAAATCTTTTGTGAAAGTGTGTTCTTTTGAAAAGTGAGTACTGGTACAAATTTTGTAAATATGCACAGGAGACGTTTGAATTTACTGATTAGCGGTATGAATGATATGATTTAACTGAGTGAGGATATTCGGACGTTTAGTGAGATTAGTAGGTTTTCGCGGCAGTGAGTCTGAAAATAGTTGTCTTCTGGGTTGTAGCACCGTTTTGTCTGAGGTCCTTGCTGCCTCACTGATCGACCTTATGATAGAGACAACAAGGACCTCTGAAACGTTGGTGAACTACTAACAGACGCATGGCGCCATTTGTGTGGGAACCACACTTCTTTATATGGATGCGACAAGGGTAAATGAAAATTTGCATTCTGATATGTAAACTCAAGAAGGTAGACTGAGTTCCACAGAAGAGGAATATAGACGTTTTGAGAGTGGGGACGTTTTCACCTGCCACAACTTGTGTGAAAATTGACAAATAGATCAGTCTTTTGTGATTTGAGTAATTGTAATTGTGAAGTGCATCTGGAGAAGCCTGATTGCCAGGGAAGATTACGGATTCTACTGTTTTCTGGAAACCTAATTATAGGATAACGTTGTATTTCAAAAAATTGGTTGTGAGGTTGTAGACAAGTTTTACCTGTCAGGGGGGTTCAGTCTTTGGGCTGTTTTATACATTACATTGAACCTTGTGGCTCCGTAAAATGAAGGGAATTTCTTAACCATCTGAGCAACAATCAGCTTCTCAAGGTCTGCTCCATGGAGTTAATCTGTTGCCAAGTCATAATATTGGTCACATGTGGACTGTTGTTTGTCTTGACCTCCCACATAATACATAATGATGTAAGTTTGTTATTGTTTAGTTTAATTATTCTGAAAATTAATTTAGAAAAATGTGTTTTATTTCCAGGCAGAAAGTGAAAAACTCCTTTTGAACCAAAACCTTCACGAATCTCAGGCTAATGTTGAACGCAGCCAGGTGGAGCTGCAGGCGTTCATGGCACGCTTGGTTCAATTCGCTGCACATGTTGATTCATTGCAACATTTGTATCAGAAAGCAGATCAACAATTTGAAGAACATAATGAGGTTTGCTTAATGTTTATCAGTAAAAGGAGGTTAATTTTAAATAGTACCTTGAATAAAACCTGGAATAAGTGCACATATTCTGTGAATATTGTGTTGCTGGATATTGAATTTCCTCAGAAGAAAATGATTAAACCCAAAAGGTCACTAGTAAAACTTTGGTGTATGTTGGATACACGATTGATATTCTTCTGAAATTAGCTTGTCCTTCATATTCAGTCTGTGGTTTATACACTTTTTTATTTGTTTGGGAAAGTGCGGTTGTAAGGATAAGAGGTGGACAGAACTCAGATTCATTTCAGATGGTGGATTTTGGTGTTAATGATGTTGAACCTCCAGGTTCTGCTTCTGTAACATTAATTACTTCATAAATTTAAATCTGTTTTGGTGAGTATTACTTGTAATGAGAAGTTTGCCATAACAAGTTTATACTATTTTATTAAATGCAGGAGAAGTTGTAGTAATAATGAAATGTACATAGTCGCTGCGCTGGACAGTAAGGCGTATGGGCAACAAAGCTCTGACCATGCAGTACACGGAAGGTGCATGCGCAGGAAGGCCGTGTGCTTCTATTGCGGTCTCTCACGTAGGACACAGCAAGCGATTCCCCGCTTCATATGACACCCCATGCTGCTTATTCAGCTTGCGTGTCTTGCTTGTTATCGCTTACGTAGGACATTGCCTTAGCGTTCCACAAGATGACAGTAAAAAGGTGTTTGGGGGGATGCATGCACGACTAAAATGTCGTGGAATCAGCATCTTGGCTGTCACCATTTTGGGTCAGTATTGAAATAACCAGTTTAATTCTAAACATGTCAGAAGGCAACGTACGTTTGTAATGATAAATATATTTCTATGGATGCGAAACAAGTAGGAAGATATTAATCGTCTAAGACAAATAAATGCCTGCAAAGGTAATATGGTGACCAGATGTTAAGTTCAGTATGAAGTGTAGATTACCTTAGACTCTGCACCACTTTTCTATGTGATTCAAGACAAAGGGAAAATGAAACTTCTACATTGCAAACTCCCCCTCCCCCCTTAAAAGAATTGCCCTCCCAGGATTTGTAGGTGGTTGGTTCCAGGATAAAACAAGAAGAAGTAAGTATATTTAAAACAATCATTTAATGTATTATAAATGTGAATTAATCTCAGCCCAAAAATAAAATGCAAAATATAAAGAAACTATGGTACAGCCTCAGAAAACTCAAGTAACCCCTCCCAGAATAGCCGAAACAGAAATTCACCTAACCCGTATGAAACATAATTCTGATGACGGAGGCAGTATGACCTCTGAAACGTTGGTTAACATCTATCAGACTACACAGCGCTACAACCCAGAAGACAGAAATCTTCATCGCCCTGATGATGGAGGCAGTATGACCTCTGAAACGTTGGTTAACATCTATCAGACTACACAGCGCTACAACCCAGAAGACAGAAATCTTCATCGCCCTGATGATGGAGGCAGTATGACCTCTGAAACGTTGGTTAACATCGACCAGACTACACAGCGCAACAACCCAGAAGACAGAAATCTTCATCGCCTGATGATGGAGGCAGTATGACCTCTGAAACATTGGTAAACATCGACCAGACTACACAGCGCAACAACCCAGAAGACGGAAATCTTCATACTCACCGCTGTGAGAACCTCAAGTCTTACATAAATTAATAGTGTTCTCAGCAGGTTAGCAAAGTATTAAAGGAACATGGAAAACATTTGTCAACAATCTTTGACATTACATTTTATTTTGAGTCACTCTGTATAACTAACATGTTTCTTACAACTTGTAAATAGGATTGATTTTGTTAACTGTTATTAGCCTTGCTTCATGGCTGATCTACATTCAAGCTTGCTGCACATTGCACTGACGTACTGCTAAACGCCTAAACCCCAAGTTAAATTTTAGTCAGCAGACTGTAGTATGTGGCTCTAAATCCCCCCCCCCCTTCTCTCTCCGTCTCTCTTTTGTATGATAAAGGTCAGTGTTCAGAACAATAAGTTAGTCTTAATTTTGGAAGTCTGTATGTTTTGATTCATCAGTACTAATTTAATTTTTTTTTCTTCCAGAACCGTAATGTTGACAAATTAAGTTCAGTAGTCTCACAGTACCAGCACTGGTTTATGTTGGCATTACAAGAAATAGAGCAGTTACGCACTGATCTGCGTGAACTGGAGAAGGGATTGAACTGCTCAGATGCTACTCTTCAGTTGCGCACAGAAGTGACGAACCTGAAGAACAAGGTACGTAAATGTTGTCCATCAGTGAGAAGTGTTTCCTTTTTGAATGTACAACGAAATGGTTATATAACAAAGAATATCGGGTTAACAAAATGCATTAATAAGGTGTCCAATTGTAGCTGGCTATGATGATCAGTGTTTTTAATTTCCTCCAGGCGAATACTGGGATAGTACCTCGAAGTAGACCATAAATGCTGCCCTCCACTTCTTCATCCTTTCTACTCATTTGTTGTTTAATACCTCCACTGTTATAACTAACCTGGTGGTGCGTGATCTTTCTTAAACAGTTCATACAGAAAAATCTTCTTGGGATGAACTTCTGTGGACTAAAATTCATAATATTTTATTATTATGACATAAGATTTATTGTTTAAACAAAGGTAATGCATTTTTGTTGAGTTGAGTGGTATGTCATGTGCTTGTCCGTGAGTTTACATTACTTTGAATAAATTTGAATAAGCTAGTTGACTAGTGTATCTTAAGAAATGATATGAATGGTGCCTCATTCTGTGAGAAGGCAGCTCATTATGCGTAAGAATCTTGTAATCAAACAACTTTGCTTGTATTGCAGTTGCTTGATGCAGAACAGAGGGCTGTGGAGTTACAGATGGATGTGAGGCTGTTGGGTGAACTGGCTGGGGAGGCAGGATCCTCACTAGACACTGCACAGAATGATTTACTTACAATATCGGAAGACTTGGCTCAGTTGTATCATCATGTCTGCACGGTTAATGGGGAGACACCCAGCCAAGTTCTTCTGGACCATGAGAAACACAGAGGCATGACACCAAGTAAGAATTGGCATCACTGGTCCATGTGCTTTATTGTGCATTGATAACTATCGATACTGCAAAGAAGTATAAAAGTGAGGTCTTCTGGGTTGTTGCGCTGTGTAGTCTGGTCGATGTTAGCCAACGTTTCAGAGGTCATACTGCCTCCGTCATCAG